TTTTTTTAAATTTAATATTTACATTTTTTTTTCCTATTTTGCTCGGTACCACTGAGGTACCAAGCAGAATAGCGGATCCGAATGTGAATAGGGGCGAACAGCAGCGAGCGAGCTGCCGGAGCTTCGGCTCAGCCGATCCAAATGTTGGATCGCCTGAGCCGAACTCCTTCTGCACTTCGGCTCAGCCGAACATGCTGAGCGTGTTTGGTTGACCTGAAGCCAGCCGATGTACAGCTCATTTCAGCTGATGTACGGCTGAAATCAGCCGTACAAGCCTGAAGTGAACAGCCGAACAGCGTCCGGCTCACTTCACTTCGGGTTGGTTATTCACTCGGCTGCCTTCGCTAGCTTTGTGAATAACCCCCTAAGTTAACTTTGGAAACTGTACAGCCCCCTAATATCTAATGTGGTTCCTCAGAATCAGAAGTTCTCGCTTACTCTGAGCAAACTAATAAGCAAGATGGTTTTAAAGCTGAACTCCAGGCTGACATAAAATAAACACAATCCTGCAGCTTTGTATTCATTAAAGCGGAACGAGACCCACCAGTGTGATGCCTCCCGAAACAGTTAATTTAATCCATGCCAACTATCAAGGTTGTCAGTGTGATTGTTTAAGCTCTCAACCAAACTTTCAAGCCCTCCAATGGCTGGTGTCATAACTGATCACATGTGTAGCACCATAAGAACCACAATCCAAAGAGAGGCTAAGATGGCACCTTCCTTGGCTACAAGAGTTAAGAAGTTTTGCTTTAATTAAGGGTGATTGAAAAAAATAAAAAATAAGAGTGTATGTGCCTGGATTTGACTTGGTATCAGCCGCTTGGAATCCCTTATACAGCAGCACTTGGAAATGGAGAAGGGTGAAGCAGCGCAAGGAGCCAATCAGTTGTGCTACAGTGCAAGAAGCATGCTCTCTGTAAAGGTAAGTCTGTAAGTGATATTAAACTGCTGCAGAGAAAATCAAGCTTGTTGTCCCACCAGACAAGGCTGTGCTGTGTGGCAGAGCTTTGTAAATCTCAGAACCGCATGGACAGAAATACAAATCATTTGGCAGGTAAAACAGCTGCTGTATATAAATGTATTTCCTGAAGTTCAACTTTAAAGGACCCTTGTTCTGGAGCTACCATTGCCAGTTGCTCAGTGTTATGCTGATCCACTGGTTTCAGCAGAGGCCTGGAATATGTATGCAAATTAGGTGTTCTGACTTCATTTGCTACATATTTGTTCTGGATCAGTCCCTAAAACTACTGAGCTCAGACACAGGATGCTAAACCAGCAATTGGAGAAGGCTTGTGATATTGTTTTTTCTCAAGGATCTCTACAGTGTCTCTTCAGTGACGTCACTGATTGCCAGGGGCTCAGTAGAACGCCTGCCAGAGCGAAAAAAGTCAGCTGTCTCTGTGAGTCGGCACACTTTCGCTGACCATGGAGCGGTCACATAGCAGCAACATTTTTTTTTTGATTGGTCCATATCTGCAGGTCTTGGTCTTTAGATTTGTCTGCAGGACTCTGAAAGAGGCTGTTGTAATTATTAACTCTGAAATTGTATATTTTGTTTTTTCTAACATGAGTTGAAGAATAAAAAATATATATCAACCAATAACAGTATAAGGAATGGGCTAGCTTGATCATCTTGTGGAGCACCCTGGGAGCCCCAGAACCAGGTCTGATAAGCAGAGACTTGTGAACACTATAAGGCTTCTCTATAGAGGAGCGAATGACATCTGCACGTCCAGGGGCATAACTGCAAATCATGGGGCCCTATAGCAAAACTTTGGGGCCCCCCAGGCTGACTGGCAGTGTCAATTGTAACAATGTACAAAAGCATGGGCATCGGCACTCCAATAGCTGATTAAGAAAGTATATTTATTAAGGTGCCTGCTGCATAGCAATACACTTAAAGTGACATTAAACCCTCAGATTTTTTTTAAACATAAAACAATACTGTAATGTGCGCCTTACTGTAATCCATGGTAGTTTCCCTTCTCTTTGCTGCTCTTCCTTTTAAATCCTTATCTCTTCTCATGCTGGGGAGAACTTCCATTTTGCAGCTGACTGCCTCTTCTCTGGAATGTTACACGGTGTCTGTGTGCGCACTCCCGACCTGAGGCAGGATGCAGGCAGCAGCTGTTGCCAATCTAACGTGGGTGGGGATGTGGATGTCGGGAGGACGTCATCCTGTAGTCCTGGCTCAGGTCGGGAGCGCGCACACAGACACCTTGTAACATTCCAGAGAAGAGGCAGTCAGCTGCCAAACGGAAGTTCTCTCTAGCATGAGAAGAGATACGGATTTAAAAGGAAGAGCAGCAAAGAGAAGGGAAACTACCATGGATTACAGTGAGGCGCACATTACAGTATTGGTTTATGTTAAAAAATCTCAGGGTTTAATGTCACTAAAGTGACATTAAGGGCAAAAGTCCCCCACCCCCATGTTAGTGTCAGGACTTACCTTGAATCATGCCTCTTAATCCCATCATCTTCTTCTTTCCAGGAGTTTTTAGCTGTCCCTCCAGCGCTGGGTGCTCCGATCCAGCGCTGACTCCTCTGTCCTCCTCTTCTCTCATGCCCCACGGTGTGTGTGTGCGCGCGCACGCTGCTCCATAGGCTTACCTTGTGTCTCTCCTCATCTCCTGGCCAAACATCTGAACTGTGCATGCGCCTGCTGCATAGCACATGCACTTAATGCAACGTTTCGGGGTCACAGAGGATCCCCTAATCAGGCAGAAACAAGCCATCATTTGTTTCTACATGATGAATGTGATCCTCTGTGACCCCAAGACGTTGCATTAAGTGCCGGTGTCCATGCTTTTGTTCATATGACGAGGCGGTTGCCATCCGCTGACTACCGTTGCACCCACTTTATTACACTGGAACAGCGGTGCTGAGTGCGGTGGGTATATGGACTGTAACTGTGACAATGTGTCACTGATCTTAACATGAAGTATGTACCAATGGCAGGAGAGCGGTCAGTATAGTCAGTACACTATGGGGTGCACTAATAATAATAACAAACATAATGATATTTATGATAAAATGAATAATGCTCTTGCACACACTTACTCATCAACTCTAATACAAACCTCCTTAAACTCTAGCATCATTAGACTTTTTTGTAGAACCACAAACCTCCACACTATAGAGTTAAACTCTGGCATTTGAGACTGCATTAGGCATACAGGGTTCATTTCAGTCTGTAGGCCAAAAAATCTACACTGCTAAGAGAGATATGCAAATGCGTCTTACTGTACATAGGGAGATCTGTGATTAGAGATCCTGAGCTCTTCACAGGTTAGATTTCCTATTCAGGCCTCCCTAATGGGGCCCTCTCCTAAAACAGGCCCTTATAGTAGCCACATGGGCTGCTTTGGCTACTGTTACGCCACTGTGTAATAGGAAATTCCCATGCACCAGCGCTCCATCTAGCATATGTAATGCTATGAGAACAACATTTACCAAGCTATACGGTGGCCAAACCCTTTATAAATCAGTCCCTGTGTTTACCAAACATGAAAAACATAAATCATTACCTACACATGACTATTCACAAAGCTGATTGTTTTTTTGTTTTGTTGTTTAGCATTTCACTGGAGTAATTATTAACATCATTAAATGATAAGAGCATGAAACACAGTGAAATACTTGGAAATACAACACACAAATGACCTTTCATCATGAATTAATTTGTATTTAAATCAATTAAAATAAAAGACTTTATTACACTCTGTGGTTTATTTTTAGGAATGATATTATTTAGCTTTCTAGCTAAATTATTAATTTTTTTCACAAGTCCAACATTACATTTCATTTAATTCTGCACACCAGTGGCACCAAACTGTTAGACCAGGACCATATGTGGACATATTCCATGGACAAGATGCAATTGTTTTAATTTTCATGTCCTGGCCAATGTTTGGAGAAAAATATGAGGTTAAAGGCATCTATCTGATCATCCGGCATCAGTCTAGATCAGGGGTAGACAACCTCGGCACTGCAGCTGTGACACAACCTGGATGCATGAAGGGAGTCTTGCAATGTATCTTGCAGTTCCAAAACCCCTGGCCTTGCTTGTTACTGATGGTTGCACGATACCTCTGTCTGCTGTAACGCCCAGTCCACAGATGTTATAGGTTGCCTGGAGCTGGGCGGGACCACCAACCAGAACATCTCGCTCAGCTCCAGGCAACCAGCGACATCAGTGAGCTGGCCGGAACGTCGGCCAGAGTGTCCCTGGATGCTGAAAACTCTTAGCAACCTGGGACATTCCAAGAGGCTTATTGAAGAAATTAATGGATCATTGGGTACTCTTATGCCTTGTTTTCCTAACTTCTGCCAGCAGGAATAAAAGTTCACACAGTTTCATGAGAGCTATGTCTTTGCTGATAGATGCCCCAGACATGAAACATCTAGGGTTCCACAGCAAGTCCAAAACATTAATAAAATAGTGTTTAGCATTTCATGAATATGATTGCACTAAAGCAGCCAGAGACTTCTGCACAGTAATGATGAGGCTGGGCTTGGTGTGAACCCAGTTTGCCTGAGTTTGCCCGAGTTTGCCCAAGCCCATTGAAAACTATGACCGCCAACCCCCACCCCCCTCCCTGCCAGTGGCAGCAGTTGTAGTGGGGCATTCCCCACCCCTGTGTGATGTATAGCTGCAGGTCGAGGAATGTGCCTCTCCGCAACTGATTGAGCCAGGAGAAAGGGCTGGCAGTAATAGTTTTGAGTGGCCCCGGAAAACTGGGTTCGCACCAAGCCTAAGCTTATCTCGACGGCAGAGCAATGACATACGTTGTCATATAATACTTTGTCTGCGTCTGGTTTACAATTGACGTGTGTCATAGTGTTGAGGATCATCCTCAGAGGTCTATCCAGCACTGGTTATTAGACTTTACACTTCCATAGTTGAGAGCCAATGGAAATTATAGAAGAATGCTTGACTTTTAATAGTGCTTTTGATATTTCTGCCCCACATACTACAATGGATGTTTAAATTTACATACCTGGCAAGGTCCATGCAGGTATCTGTGAGGGTAGCAGATGAGTTGAAGTATTCTCTACTGGCAGCCAGCACCAGCTCTACACTCTTCTCATAATTCACTCTATACATCACTTTGCCTTTAGAGCTGATGCTTACAGGGAGGTCTATGGAAGTCACATTGCAATGCATCATATGCCCAGCCAGCTGGATGTTCTCCTTGCGACTCGAACACAGCAAACTATCTGCAAAAATCTGAAACATGGGGGGAAACTAAACATTACCAATACAGCCATAGAAAACCTACTCAGTAACAATAACAGTCTTCTGTATAAAGGACCAATAAACAAAATAACGTAATTTATCAATTCATAGTGGTTAGTGTTGTTAGTTGCTAATTCATATAATACATATTTTTGCTTGTAGGGTGTGTAAGGACCCTTTAATAACGTCCTTAGGGTGTCCTGCCACACGCCTGGCCGAGGAACCCCTTAAGGTGGGTGCTGAAGTGGATGGCACCGCAGGCATCAAACATAGAACAAAATGTCACCAGCACACCAGACAGTGGTCGAGTGTTCGTCCTTTAATGACGCATGTTGTCACATTGAAGCAACATTCCAAGGCCGTGGAGGGTCCCCTTCATCATATTGTGCCTGATGAAGGGGACCCCGCGTGGCCCTGAAATGCTGCTTCAATGTGACAACGTGTCAATAAAGGACATTTTGTTCTACATTAGGACCCTTTAATGCAGCAGTCGCCAACCTTTCGGACCTCATAGACCACTAAATTCATAATTTTAAATCACCCACACACTTTGACAAGTGTAATATAAAGACTGCCATTGTTGATAAAATATAAAAACTTGTCCTTTACAAAGCAGGGTTAACCTCAACAACATGTGGGATGCATGAATAAAATAGAATATGGGGGCCTACAGTTACAAAACACTTGCAAGGAACCTATTTAATGAATTTGCAATGCTATGCCAAATTCCCATTGCGCTGTGTACCTCCCTAACTGCATACTGTATTTTCAATCCAATTCCATTTTCCAAGCTGGTTAAAAAATGTTTGGTGTTTGTAAGGAACCTCTTAGTACTAACACTTTGATCCATAAGGCTTTCTGTATAAAAAATACAGCAATGAACCTACAGTGAGTGTGTTTCCCACATTACAATTAGGTAAGCAAAGGTGGTTCCCAGATCACCGAATTCCTGAACAATGGGCCTGAGTGGCCTGGTGCTCTACAACAATATCTAGGCACAAACTAAACCATTAGCAGGTAAGCTTTGCTCCTTGTATATGTAACAGAAGTTTCACTTCTGAATGAAGAGTTTTTAGCCATGCCTTGCATCAGTAGATAAGGTAAAGTAAACTATGGGTATCTGTAAAAAGCACAATGCCGGCTCCGCGTCTCAGTAAATGTATAATTCCATGCTTTGATTATTGGGAATACACAATGTGAGCCTCTGTTGTCTGAAATGCCCCTAATTGTGATGGCTAGACAACTGGGTCAGGCAACCCCAAAACTGCAGCTCTTGTGGGATGTCCCCACTCTGCAGTGGTCAGGACCTACCAAAAGTGGTCCAAGGAAGGAAAACTGGTAGACCAGTGACAGGGTCATGGGTGGCCAAGGCTCACTGATGCACGTATGGAACAAAGGCTGGCCCGTGTAATCCAAACTAATAGAAAAGCTACTGTAGCTCAAATTGCTGAAAAAGTTAACGATGGTTCCTACAGAAAGGTGTCTGAACACACAGTGCATTGCTCTTTGTTGTGTTTGGGGCTACATTGCGCAAACCAATCAGGTTGTCCATCCTGACCCATGTCCACCACCAAAAGTACCTACAATGGGCATGTGAGCACCCTGCCACACTGTAAAATTAGTTTAAGAATGGTTTGAGGAACACAACAATGAGTTTGAGGTGTTGACTTGGCATCCAATCGAGCATCTGTGGGATATGCTGGAAAAACAAGTCCGACCCATGGAGGCCTTACCTTGCAACTTACAAGACCTAAAGGATCTGCTACTGACGGCTTGCTGCCGGATGCCACGGCATACCTTCAGAGGTCTATGTCTCAATGGATCAGGGTTGTTTTGGCCGCAAAAGGGTGATCTACTCAATATTAGGCAGGTGGCCATAATATTTTGGCTTAACGGTGTATATACTGCCTTACTCCACCATCTGTAAAATATTATGTTAGTCTATGTCAGTGGTGGCAAACCTTGGCACTCCAGCTGTTTTGGAACTACAAGTCCCATGAGGCATTGCAAGGCTTTGACAGCCACAGACATAACTCCCAGAGGCAGATGCATGTTGGGGTTTGTAGTTTTGGCACAGCTGGAGAGCCAAGGTTCGCCACCACTGGTCTATGTTATATGCATACCGCCTTTAAAGTGGACTTTTACCTCTTTTCACTCAAAAATATGCTGTATGCTGATATGAAATCATCTTACATTTAAAAGTTGAGCAAATGTTTTGATTTTTGCACAATTATTGCCTTTCTACTGCCTAGTTGAGCGAGGCACTGATGATGAATCTGGCCTCACAGATCTATCCTGGGAAGGCTACATCACCAGTACCCTCCTGAGAATACTCATCTGTAATCTGATCTGTACTTCCAGGAAGTAAAGGGAGGTGAATCCACCTGCTTTTAGTGAAAATGGCCACAGTGAGAAGAATGGGGAGGAAAAGAAAAATAAGTTATCCAAAGAATAAAAAGTCAGCAAATATCTATAAGTATCTGTTTGTATATTTCCATTATTAAACATTTTTAAAGGTGCTTTTGCTGTCATTTTTAAGATAAAAGGTGAAGTTCCCCTTTAACCAACCCGTACATTCTGTATTGATCTCCTGCCTGACAGTATGAGGAAATAAGCAAATGTAAGCAATTAAAGGGAGGCTGTAAGGACAGACATTTGACCTGCCATTGCAGCCTTGTTGTTAAATGTGCAGGCAGTCATCTTCATCCTGCATTCACTGCCTACCAAGTTCCTGATCTGGTGTAAGCCTACAATCAAAGAAGTCTTAAATGTCTGAACTCACTTCTGGTATGTTCATTCCAGGTCGCTGACTCACTGGGTAGTAAATGCAAGATTAGTATGACAGCTCTGGAGAACAAGTTCACTATAAAGATATGAGGATTCACCTCGGAGCTGCAACCTCCCTAAATGCACTTGGTCTATGGCCTTGTAAATTTATATGGTCAATGAACACCTTGGGGAATCCAGACACCTATATAATTTACAGCAGGGAATAAATTCTTCAATATATTGGAACAGTGCATTTCACAGTCTCCTTTAAAACGTATGATCCGAGCAACATTTTGCCTTTGATTTCACTGTAAAGCTAACATAAGAAGAGCATTGGAAAAAATACACAAGGCAGTCTCACAAGCGACCGTGATCCTCCCAGCATGCGGGAGGGACTGTATATGCTAATAAGGTACAAGTATCTAATGGGAAGAAAAAGCATTTGAAAACAAAAATAATGGTTTCTACTGCTGGGCAATGAGGTAGCACTAACGTTGTGGAAAATAGATGCGGCCCAAGCTGAAATTCATTTTTCATTCACAGACATTCGCGTCTATACAGGATATTACTTTAACTCTTCTAGTGCAAGATGGGAGTTTTATTCAATGTATGAGAGTCGGGGACATTGATGTATTGATACTGCTACTGCGGACACGAGTGCTGCTTACATGAAGTTTAGCCATGTTTTACAAACACATTTTGCCATATCACACTGAATATGTATGGGGCCTGTGTGTCTTGTAACGTGGTTTCTTGTAAAACGTATGATGGATGTCACTGCTGCTGTGCTGCCCAGGTCTGTCCTTGTTGCCTGCCTTCCCTGACGTACACTCCTGGCAAACTGATTAACTTTTCTGAGGAAATGAAGGCTTTCAAATGCAACTGTGTTTTTATTCCTTGAACAGACTCCAAAACCCCATTAGACTTTCCAAAAATCTTCCTAGAACAGCCTCCAAAACCACTCAGACTTTCCAAAAATCTTCCTGAAATAGCCTTCAAAGCCCCATCAGACTTTCCAAAAACCTTCCTGGAATGGCTTCCAAAGTCCCATCAGACTTTCCAAAAATCTTTCTGGAACGGCCTTCAAAGCCCCATCAAACATCCCAAAAATCTTAATGGAACGGCCTCCAAAGCCCCATTAAATGTTCCAAAAGTTTCCCTGGAACGGCCTTCAAAGCCCCATCAGACTTTATAAAAATCTTCCTGGAATGGCCTCTAAAACCCCATCAGACATTCGAAAAGGCCAAGCAAAGGTATCTAAAACAAAGCTTAGGGTAGCTGTTACATAGTAGATCTTGTATTAATCCCTACAATTTCAAAGTCCCATGAAACTGATTGTCCCCATAGAAAGACTAAGGACAGACTGAGCTTCCTCTCATGTAATGTCTCTAAGCCTATAATCCTTTTTAGGACAGGCACACTGTTCAAATCTAGTATACACTTGATAATGAAAGAAAAGCACAAACTGGGTAAATTGTGACAAACATTAACCTTCCACTCCCCTTGTATTCCAGGTGAAAATGTTGTTTAGAGAAAAACTTTTCTTACATAGTTATATGTAAGCAGAAAATTGTATTTATTTATTAAGTTATGCTCTGTGAATGAGAACAAACATAAAAATATTTTGGCTTGACATATACTTTAAATTAAATTGTAATTAAATGGCTGGACAGCGGCTTACATAGTTACATAGTATTTGAGGTTGAATAAAGACACAGGTCCATCAAGTTCAACCTATTGTTTGTATGTTTTGGATTCTGTATGTGTGTGTACAAGTCCCCATGTGAACTTATTTTTTAAGGGTACCTGTAACCCTGTATGTTACGGTCTCTGAGTAAATTGTCCAAATGCATTTTGAATGATTCAACACTCTCAGCTGATACCACTGCTTGTGGCAGAGAGTTCCAGACCCTAACCGCTCTAACTGAAAAGAATCCCCTACGCCCCTTGTGGTTAAATCTTTTCTCCACCAATTTTAGGTGGTTGCCTCTAGTCTTTGTTATGGCGTTTACCGTAAAAAGTTTATTGCTGATGTTGCTATCACCATTGAACATCTTGTACATCAAAATCATGTCCCCCCTTAATCTCCGCACCTCCAACATGAACATATTTAAGTTTCTTGGATGCGGGTGGGCAGTTTTAAACGTCCCTTCCCACCCCGGTCGTGCCCGCCGACAAGCAGCGAGTGGGAGAGTGGGAGCAATAACTCTAGGGCCATCATT